GTAACTTAATTACTTAGGAATTGTCCTTTCACTCTAATCTGATGCAGTTTTTAATTAAATTCATAGAATCCCAGAATCATAGAGAAGTCAGGCTGGAAGGGACCTCCAGAGGTCATACTGTCCAACCCTCTGCCTGAGACAGGATCATTCCTATCCAAACTATTTCATATAAATCCATTGTCTAACATCTTTGAAAAACTACAGTCAACCCTGATACAACACAGGACAAAACACTCTAATCTACCACAGGTAAAGCTGGGGGACCATGACAGCTAACATCCTGCTGCTCCTGTCACTTAATAACGATCATAAAAAACAGTTACTGTTTAAAAGGTATATTGGCATGACATGTGGAAAAGTACTTAATTTTATAGGTAAGTAGGCCCAAACCCCAACACTGGAGTTGTTATTATAGAAAGTACTGAACACTGAGTTCTGTAATTTTACAATTGGAAATTAATTCCTTATCCTCTGCAGTTCACATCACAAAGTAATCAGCTTTGGTTGACAGTCTCTGTTAAAAAAAAGAGTTGAGATGAAGATCAGGACCTTACTTAACAAGAAAACTTTCCTACCCATTATAAAGGTAATTACTTCTGATTCTATTTGATATTCTTGGAGGGAAAAGTAAGAAAAATGTAAGAATTTTACATTGCAGATTCTCTAGCAAAAATGCCCATATATATGAACACCTTTACCCTTCATCTACATACATGTATGCTTATTCATAGACTTATGAAACATACAAAAACTTCTGACATGCATAAGAATTTGCATTGTAATTAAGAATTTGATCCTAAAAGTATTGAACATTCAGGCTCAACCCAACAAAACATTTTAGTAACCATTTAAAACTATGTACTTAAAGCAAAAGAATGTGTATGAGCTGTGCCGATCTGAACTAGAGAAACTTTAATGTACACATTTCTAAATAAATAACCATGTGATGTTACATCTATCGTGCACCTGGCTGGCTACTGTATAGTCCCCTCTAACTATTCACTCATCTACATTGGAATTTATTCTAACAATTCAGAATTCTGAGCAATATCAAATATTTGTCATTAAAAATTAAACAAAATGCTTTCTCTATTTTCCCCTAAAGATGTGAAACTACTGTCCTTAAATTAAAGGCCCAGTCGAACCAAAACACCATTCTGAAACAACAAGGGGTCAAAGGTTCAACCTTTTTATAGAGCTACCAGTGAAAATTTTATACTATTGAAAAAGGAGATTCTCAAAAACTCCACATGAAGCAGAGAGAACAATGTTCCAGTGAAGACCCTCTTCAGATACTAGAAGTTAGTCAGGATATTTTAACTCATGAGTGGTAAAATTCAAACCATGAGTGGAGACCCTTCCAAATAAAGGGTAATTACATTTCATACTGCAACATTATATTGCTCATCCCCTTACTCCTGGAAGGGGCATGTACTCCATAGTACACAGAGAAAGAAAGAACACAACATTCTGTGCAAGTTGTGTCTTGGGAGCGGGAAGTAGGTGGAACCATAACTCCATACTGGTGGCCTGTCCCATAATGTTACAGTAGCAGATAGGCAAATTTAGCTAAAATAAAGAAAAACATATATGGAGATAGGATATTTGATTCCTCAATATACTATTGTAGAATTCTCTGTCAACTAATAAATATCATGGGTTTCCATGTATTAATGTCACCTAAGTCAAGTGAGAACTTCTGTTTGTTGAGCACAGTCTGTTTTTCAGGGACTGTGGTCAGAGACCTTGACGTTCTCTCTCCACATTGAGAAAAGTGTACCCTGTGGACACTCTTTGATTTTCTTTTTTGACAATCTTTAGATATGACCTAATGTATATTACATTCAAGTACACAATGTTCAAGAAAGGAGAGAATGTATTAATTACTTTTCCTCTAATCACTCCAGGCTGCTATTACTACTTAAAAGTCTCTTAATTTTGGTCTTAATTTTTACTTTATCTTAAAAGTAATAAATACATGTTTATTATGGAGATTTTAGCACAACGTTTGGTGTAAAAGGCATTTTTATTTTTAATTTAATCTTTCTTTCTGTAGCATATTTTTTTTAATGAAAGAAAACCACAAAGGCTTATAAGAGGCAAAGGTGACTGGGGAAAAGTGTGCAATTGATCTTCTTTAAAAGCAGTACATTTCTGACTAAAAATACTGCATCAAATTGGACATACACCTACTGGGAATCTCTAGTCAGTTTTTGTGTGATCAAAACTAATATTTGCATACTATTTTAATGATCTTCTAAATACAGTAGTTTTCATGTACTGTTCACAAATGCAAACCAATGAAATACTTGTTACTGACTCAGCAGCAGTATATGCACTTAGACTCTTCTAGACATCTGCCTTAAGGATACTGAAAAGTCCTTCATTGCAAATCATTTGTTATTGTCTGTGGTCCAACTACTGCATAATATAAGCTGTACAACATAAGCGTGCAATCATAATATCAGTACTGGATGTTACTAAATATTTAACCAGAGTTTTTAAATATTTGGCTGATCAGAGTATCAGAGCTTATTTCTTACTCTAGAAACTCTGACTGCATTCTAAATTTTCATCAGAATAACCTGCATGTGGAATTGTGAATATTTTATTGCCTTTGCTTCCATGTCCCAAAGGATAATCACTTAACATCTTTGTGAAAAAGCTGACAGCAAAAATGTCAGCTATTTCTGTGACCTAACATGTTAGCC